TAAGATGGGTATACTTTATTCTATACAAATTATACCTTAATAAAGATAATTTTAAAAAAATTGTTTGCTGAACTAAATAATAACATTTAAGCATATATTATTATTAATCTGCAGACATTTTAAAAAAATAGAAAGACAGGGCAGACACAGCTGATTCTCACAGCCAGTCAGCCTGGTGGTCAAATCCCTCTAGTATTAACTACAACAATCAAGGCTTAACTAGAACAAGACTGTGCACAAAGACCACAAGGGGGTGCACCAAGAAAGCATAAAAAATGCGGAGACAAAAAAACATGACAGAAATGGAGGATATAGAGCTAAAAATCGCAATTTTGAGGGCTTGCAAAAATGTGCTAGAAGCTGTCAATAAACTTGAGGAGAGAGTCACGAAAACTAATGAGACCCTCGATGCTATGATAAAGAACCAACTAGAAATTAAGCATACACGGACTGAAATAAAGAATATTATACAGACACCCAATAGCAGACCAGAGGAGCACAAGAATCAAGCCAAAGATTTGAAATGCGAAGAAGCAAAAAACACCCAACCGGAAAAGCAAAATGAAAAAAGAATCCGAAAATACGAAGATAGTGTAAGGAGCCTCTGGGACAGCTTCAAGCGTACCAACATCAGAATAATAGGGGTGCCAGAAGATGAGAGACAGCAAGATATTGAAAACCTATTTGAAGAAATAATGGCAGAAAACTTCCCCCACCTGGTGAAAGAAATGGACTTACAGGTCCAAGAAGAGCAGAGAACCCCAAACAAAAGGAATCCAAAGAGGACCACACCAAGACACATCATAATTAAAATGCCAAGAGCAAAAGACAAAGAGAGAATCTTAAAAGCAGCAAGAGAAAGAGACTCAATTACCTACAAGGGAATACCCATACGACTGTCAGCTGATTTCTCAACAGAAACTTTGCAGGCCAGAAGGGAATGGCAAGAAATATTCAAAGTGATGAATACCAAGAACCTACAACCAAGATTACTTTATCCAGCAAAGCTATCATTCAGAATTGAAGGTCAGATAAAGAGCTTCACAGATAAGGAAAAGCTAAAGGAGTTCATCACCACTAAACCAGTATTATACGAAATGCTGAAAGGTATCCTTTAAGAAGAGGAAGAAGAAAAAGGTAAAGATACAAATTATGAACAACAAACATGCATCTATCAACAAGTGAATCTAAGAATCAAGTGAATAAATAATCTGATGTCTGCTGGGTGGGGACGGGGGGGGGGGGGGGGGGGGGGGGGGGGGGGCGGGAACGGGGAGGAGGGGAGTTATAGGGGGGGGGAAAGAGGAACAAATGTAATCTGAACAATAAAGATTTTAAAAAAAAATAAAAAATAAAAAATAAATAAAAAATAGAAAGACAGTAAATATTTGTTGGCCTGACTTAAATTATTGGTAAGTTCTATGGCTATTAAAACCCCATAAATTATTCTGCTGGAAGATAAAAGCACACATAACAACTGAAATGACAAATGCAGTTTTTGTATATACATCTATCGTTCTTTTGGGAAGAGACTAAATCAGGAAGACTTGAGTCAATAGTTTTAAGAAATACAAATAGATAATTCAGTAAGAAGTATTAATATACTTTCTCTTTTTCAATTCTTTGTAGAAATTTCTAGTATGCAAACTTAGTGATACCACTAGTTTTTAGCTTAAAAAAATCAACATACACGTAAAAGTACTGTTGACTCTTGATTAAAACATTCATAAAAGATATTAGTGGCAAGATTAAATCAAAATAAGAGATAGTCTCTAAACCAATGTTTCACATACTATATTTTGGTGGAAAACAGACCTGAACACATTTCATGAAAGATGGGTATGGCATTAAACAAACCTAAGTAATAATAGTTTGAATAATGTTAAATAAGTTTCTGTACTTTCTCACAGGTTTTAATGTGATAATGTGAACTGTGAATTCCCAAAAGAAGTTAATGAATGCAGTGTGTCCCAACATTATTTCAGTTAGGACTTGCTTAAAGTGTCACACTGTTATAGAACAATGGAAAGCTAGAAAAATTCTGGGACAAGTGGAATAGGGAAACTGATTCAGGAAAATTAAACAAAGCCAAAAAGCTTTGCAGGCTGCTTGTATCAGAACAAAGGGTTAAAACTTCTCACAAAAGAATGCAGAAGATGTGGAAGGAAAGGGAAAAGAGGACAAGGAATCTTAATTCAAATTCTCCTTAACCAGAGACTACTTAGTGCAAATCATCCTGGAGCTGTTAAAACAGCAGGGAGGAGTGGGAAGTATAGTCTTATCTCATCCCAACTGTTTAAACAGAAAAGCCAGAGGTCTAGGGATTTAATTGCCAAGTGCTTCTCATAAATTGTGGAAAAGCCATAACAAAGAAAAGGGGAGACCTTCAGAGTTAATCTGTATCAGGATATCTAGCAGATAATTTTTTTAAAAAAATTTATTGACAAGAAGGTATATAAGGCAGAAATCTCCCACCCCACTTGTTCTTCAGATTAGCTGTAAACCCATCTGGGCTTCATAAGCCAGATGTAGAGATTTGCTTGCCTTGCTTAATAAATGTGCATGTTTTAATTTTTTAATAAATTCACATTAACACAACACAATTATTATCTGGATTCACTCGTTTGAATTCATTCCTATGAGCATGACAAGAATCGAGTGGGGACAGCCCTCTCCCTCTGACTCAGTGGCTGTCCGATTAACACTTCTCTGGTGTCTGTGAGAGGGGCCTGTAACAACACTTCAGGAAACACTGTTGCAGGACGAGAGCACAACCAAGTCAATTCAGGTTTCCCCTCCATATTTTATATTCATATCTTTGGAGAAGGTAATTATGCCTTTTATTTAAAATATCTCCTCTAAAAATATAAAAGAGAATCTAAATTGTTAGTAAATTTTGATTTCTCAAGGGAAAATAAATATTGCTCAGATTTTCAGGCTTATAAGATAACTTAGGCAGTGGTTCTCAACCTTCCTAATGCCTCGACCCTTTAATACAGTTCCTCATGTTGTGGTGACCCCCAACCATAAAATTATTTTCGTTGCTACTTCATAACTGTAATTTTGCTACTGTTATGAATCGTAATGTAAATATCTGATATGCGGGATGTATTTTCATTGTTCGCGACCCACAGGTTGAGAACCGCTGATAGAGTATATGTAGGGCCAATTACCTAGCATAATTGATCCCACCTTCTAAAAATAATCAGCTACTAAAATCTGTGGGTAAAGTCAACCAATTATGAGTCCTTCCTTTAGTGTAAAGACACTTAGATTTAGTCCATCTCAAAAGCACTATATTTTTAACTATAAAATACTGTAACATATAAAGTTGGACTACATGGAATCTATTAAATTTTTTAGGTCTAAAAAATTAGGTGAAGCAATATCACTATTCTATATGAGGTTTTCTCAAAAAGTTGTTAGGTTTTATGCTATTTCCAACTTATTGCATTTAATATTTATTAAACAGTTAAAGAGTATTTTTTAAAATTTAGCTTACATATTTTCAAAATCCTGTAGTATAAATTGTTTATACAACACCTCCCTTATATTTATCACATAAAACTTTAAATATGAGCCCAGCTGGCATGGTTCATTGGTTGAGCATTGACTTCTGAACCAGGAGGTCATGGTTGGATTCCCAGTCAGGGCACATGCCTGGGTTGTGGGCTCTTCCCCAGTAGCGGGGGTGTGCAGGAGACAGCTGATAAATTCTTTCTCATCATTGATGTTTCTATCTCTCTCTTTCCTTTACGCTCTGAAATCAATAAAAATATATTTAAATAAAATTTTTAAATGTGAGATTCATTTTAAGAAGCAGATTTTTATATTCGTCTAATGTCTGAAGAATAACTCTATTTAAAAGACACCTATGTCTATGGACTGGGGAGAGAGGCACAATGGACCACAATTTAGTAAAGACTGAATACCTGAAAGCAAAGGATTTTCATTCAACCAGAAACAAAGTAGATTAACAAACTGTCTTTTCAATTGTTATTTTCAAAAGTAAAGGTTAGCTTTAACATTATCAGAGAACAATGTTCCAGTGGGCAAGTAGAAAGATGTTAATAATGACATCTAACAAGTATTCTTTAAGAAATTTTAATCATCAACAAATCAACAAATGAAAAGTGCTGGCGAGGATGTGGAGAAAAAGGAACCCTCGTGCATTGCTGGTGGGAATGCAGACTGGTGCAGCCACTGTGGAAAACAGTATGGAGTTTCCTCAAAAAGTTAAAAATGGAACTCCCATTTGACCCAGTAATCCCACTTCTAGGACTATATCCCAAGAAATCAGAAACACCAATCAGAAAGGATATATGTACCCCTATGTTCATAGCAGCACAATTTACCATAGCTAAGATTTGGAAACTACCTAAGTCATTGATGGCGAACCTCTGACACGCGAACTCATTTTTTTGGTTGATTTTTCTTTGTTAAATGGCATTTAAATATATAAATATATAAAATAAATATCAAAAATATAAGTCTTTGTTTTACTATGGTTGCAAATATCAAAAAATTTCTATATGTGACACGGCACCAGAGTTAAGTTAGGGTTTTTCAAAATGCTGACACGCCGAGCTCAAAAGGTTCGCCATCACTGACCTAAGTGCACATCAACAGATGAATGGATTAAAAGACTGTGATACATCTGCACAATGGAATACTACCCTACTATAAAAAAGAAGGAACTTATACCATTTGCGACAGCATGGATGGAACTGGAGAGCATTATGCTAAGTAAAATAAGCCAGTTGGAGAAAGATAAATCATGATCTCACTCATATGTGGGATATAATGATCAACATAATTGATGAACAAGAATAGATCCAGAGACAAATGGCAGGGGAAGGGGGGATTAGAGAGCAACCAAAGGACTTGTATGCATGCATATTAGCATAACAATGGACACAGTCACTGGGGTGGTGGGGGCTTGCCCGGGGTGGGAATGGCTGCAATAAAAAAATTATATATATGAAATTTTAATTACTTACCTGTAATGGACCCAAGATAGAACTTGTTGTATACATAAAAAAGAGCCGAAGATAACTCAGAACATTTGCAAATGCAAACAGCCCTTCTGCCACCAGTGTAGGATGAAATGCATCCCAGTCTTTCCGATCAGCAAAGTCATGAAACTAAGGAAGAAAAAGCCAAAGGTAAATAGCTCTCTCAATTTAGTAAAATAAAAACTTATTCCAATTATTGAAAAAAAAACACATTTTAATTATGTTTCCTTGTGGGAGGTCACTATGTTTTATAAATTTCTCTTCTTTTAATAGAAATAACATTGTTTTAACAATAAAATATTTCTACAAAGATGAGGCAATATCACTATTCTATATAAGGTTTTCCCAGAAATTGTTAGGTTTTAAGAAATTAAAGTTTTAAAAACTGTTATTAAACTTTTTATGAATAAATGTTTACTAGTTTTTCTTAAATTCCACAACACAAATTTTAAATACGTTTACATGTCAAATTATTACCTATCCTATTAAATTGACCTTTTCCCTTGAATCAGGATTCTAGAATAAGCCATAGAAGTTCTTCTCCCTTTTATATGCAAAGGAGTGCTTTGTTACCTAGACATAGAGTGGCCACATGCTCCAACCACCTGGGATAGTCAGATTATGTACCAGTTTTCCTGGCATAATTATTAACAGCATCCATCCCTTTTCATTTCAAAATGTTTAAAATGCTTGTTTAATATATGATTTGGGCATCCCACTTCTAGAGCTAAAGAGACCAGTCTAATAAAACAATGACCCTCAACTCTTTATTGAACTGTATATCTATGTATAACCAATTTTTATTTCTTAGTAATCTCAAAATTCTGGTCACTGACCATATTTAACATGTTCCTACTACTAATTACTTAAAAGAACAGAGTTTTTAATGAAGTAAAATGATGTTAGATAACCAGTTCACCTTTTATAGTTTATGTTAGTATAAAAACAAAAAAACAAAAACCCACACATAAAAAAACCCAGAAAACAGAAAATCCTGTATCATTTAGTTCTTTAAATGTGACTCCTCAGAATCTAAACTCTTTAAACAAAGACAGTTAACATTGGAATGTGTAAAACACTATATAATTAATTCCATTCAGATAAACTTTTTATCTCTGGCAGATATAAAGATATCTAATGCTAATTAATTGAAGTAACTTTGTGTTTTCATTTTAAGTATATACAGGTTAATGAGGTACATAAACCTAGCTCAGATATAAGGAATCAGCATTTGGTAGAAAGAAAATGCCTAGACAGACCTGGATTTAAATCTAGTCTTGCTTGGTTCCTTACTGTGTGGACTTGGATAAGTTACTTAATACTTCTGAGCTTCATTTTCCTTATTTGAAAAAAGGGGATAAGGACAAAGAGTCTCAAAGAGTCCCTGTGAGGATAAAATGAGATAAGTATAAAGCAAGTATTAAACCATGGTGCCTGGCATTTAATAGATAACCAACATTCACAGGTAATTAAGATCATTTAAACTACTGGAGAGGAAGGAAGCAATGTGCACTATTCCCTTGCACGGGATAGCTTTAAAATGAAAACACATCAGATACAGATTTGAGCCAATGGAACTCAGACTTAGGTAGCTAAATATCTCAGGTTTCTCCTAAATAAATTTCACTTGTGTCTCCAATTGACATAGTTAATAGTCACCTTGTTGTGAGCAACCACTTTCAGGGCAAAGGTTGCCAAATAAAGGGAATTCATGACAAAACTGAGTTGATTACGAGATTCTTCTAAAAAGTCTTCCAACCCTTCATACCAGAGTCTTTTAATGTCTGACCAAATCATCCCTAAAAAAGAAAGAAAAAAATCAAATAACGCTCTCTTACTTTCATGGAAAAACACTTTTAGGCTCAAAGTATTAAATAACATTTGCATCAGCTGTAGCCTCATTAAGAAGAAATAAAAAAAAAAAAAAACCTCTCAAAATTTGAAAGAAAATAATTTTAAGTTTCATATAATAATATCTTTCCCAGAGAGGGAGTAAAGTCAAACAAGCAGAAGAAAACAAATAAATTGATCACACACACACACAGACATCCCAAAGGCTCAGTTCCAGTTCCTTTCTCTATTCATACTCACTGCTACAGTGACCTCATCCAAATCTAGTCTAATGGCTTTCAATAACATATGTGTCAGACTTTCAAAATTTATCTCTCTAAACTCAACTTTATTTATATAATAATCAATATCTCTAAACCTCTCTAAAATCCCACTTGTATAGACACTTAGTTGCTCTGTCTCCAAATGGATGTCCTACATGTCCAAACTGAACTCTTAATCTCTGACCCTAAATTCACTGCAGTTGAAGACCTCCCTATTTCATTGGATGGCAATTCCATGCTTCTAGTTGCTCCATCCAAATTAATCATTCTTGACTGATATTTCTTTTAAACCACACAATCAATATAGTAGCAAAACCTTTTGGTTCTACTTTCAAAATATACTTAGGATCGAACCCTTCTGACTACCATTTCAATTTCAAGCCACTGTCATCTATTGCTTGAATTACTTTAAATAGCTTCCCTGGTTTCCCTTCTTTTATTCTGATCTCCCTAAAATCTATTCTCAACATAGCAACTAGAGTAATCCTTTTAAGATGCCAAGTGTTAACTTTTCTCCTCAAAACCCTGTAGAAACTCCCAGAGGAGAAAGGATTGACTGCAGGTCAGAACTCTTTCTCCATGGGAACATAACCTCATGGTATCATCAATTATGAAAACATACCAGGTTAAGAAAAATAAGGACAGCTGTGTTCAACATTGTAACAATAACCACTCACTGGAAACTGCCTGTGGACCAGGCTGACTGTGAGTGAACTCAGAGACCCTGCAGGCACACACAGCAAGAAGAAAAGACATGCTGAAAAACAGGCCTCAGCTCCTATGTGTGATGTCTCTCCTAATGTAGGTGTGTGCCTGCAGTGGGAGGTACACTCTTGGGCTTTATAAGACACTAGAGGCCTGGTGTACGAATTTGTGCATGGGTGGGGTCTGGCCGGCCTGCCTCCATCTGGGTTGGGTGGGCTGGGCCGGCCAGGGGAATGGGACATGGAAAGTTGGCCAGCCGGCTTCACCCCCAATCGGGGTGGGGGAGCTAATGGGGGGCGGTTGGCCTGCCAGCTCCGCCCTGGTCGAACTCCCAGTCAAACTCCCAGTAGAGGGGACAATTTGTATATTAGTCTTTTATTATATAGGATAGTTCCTGCTAGATTCGAGGCCTTTCTAGCTGGTGTAGCTCACACCCATCTATATGGCCTCATCTCATAAAACTGAGTGTACCCACTATGGGGTTTTGAAGCAGCCCCAAACTTTTATAAGAACTGCCAATAAGGACCTATTTGAAGCTGTCATGTGGCCTGCTGTACTTTCTGTATCTTTCTACAAAGCTCAATACAGCTGGTACCTATTGGGTCCTGTGAGTGAGAATGAGGTTGAGAACCCAAATCACTGCTGCTGATTGTGCAGAGTGGGCATTGCATCTTCCCTTATATCTCATTTTACTTGGAGTCAAAACCAAATGCCTTACAACGGTCCACAGAATTACACTACCTCCTCTCCTATTGATCTTTCCTTCCATCACTCTGGTCACACTGGCCTCCTTGATTCCTTGCTGTTTTTTGACGCCTGCCTTCAGGCCTTTACACTCTCACTTCCCTTGGTTGGAAGTTCCTCACCCTGATATCATCTGGCTAACTCCCTCACTTCATGTCTTTACCTACCACCTACTCTTATTGCCCTATTTAAAACTGCAAACCCCATGCTCCCCACTCCCAATCCCCCAACTATGCTCTCTTTCTTTTCCCTTAGTAGTTATCATTTTTAAACATTGGATATAGTTTACTTAGCATGTCTATTATTAACTATCTTCCCCTCACTTTGGGTGAGCTCTTCAAGGGTAAGAATCCTAAGTGTAAATGTCCTGAGTAGTGCCTGACACATGTGGGTACTCAAAAAAAAAATTACTAAATGAATAAATACACACAGATAAAAACAAACAAAACTATGAAGAGCCAGAGGTTTCTTCATGGATATATACATATATATACTAGAGGCTCAGTGCATGAAATTTGTGCACCCGGGGGGTCCCTCAGCCCAGCCTGCACCCTCTCATAGTCCGGGAGCCCTCAGGTGATGTCCTACTGCTGCAGAGGCGGGAGAGGCTCTTGCCACTGCTCCTGCGCTCACCAGCTGTGAGCCTGGCTTCTGGCTGAGTGGCGCTCCTCCTGTGGGAGTGCACTGACCACCAGGGGGCAGCTCCTGTGTTAAGCGTTAGCCCCCGGGTGGTCAGTGCGTGTCATAGCGACTGGTCCTTCCTCCATTTCAGGGGTCCTCAAACTTTTTAAACAGGGGGCCAGTTCACTGTCCCTCAGACCGTTGGAGGGCCGGACTATAGTTTAAAAAAAAACTATGAACAAATTCCTATGCACACTGCACATATCTTATTTTGAAGTAAAAAAACAAAACAGGAACAAATACAATATTTGTATTTGCATGTGGCCCGTGGGCTGTAGTTTGAGGACCCCTGCTCCATTTGGTCAATTTGCATATTAGCCTTTTATTATATAGGATATATTCCTGGGAGTACCAGAGAAGAATAATATAATCCAGGATCATTTTATGATACATTCCTTCATTAAGATATTTTTAAAGATTATGAAATAAAAGAATACTAGAGTGTTGCAACATAACATATGGCTGAATATCAAGTTAAGTCAATCAGAATCATTCTCTGGCTTACCAGAAGGTAGAATAGTTCCCCTGAGAAACACATGAAGCATTCTTGAAAAAAACTGTTCATAACATCTTAATTCTACAGTACCCATATTTTATGTAGAAAAAAAATTACAAATATTTGCAGATCTGGCAAGAAAAACACTTTTAAAAATTCCACTTGGTCCTTGGCTGGTGTTGCTCAGTTGGTTGGATGTCATCCCGTGCACCAAAAAGTTGCTGGTTCAATTCCTGGTCAGGGCACATACCCGGGTTGTGGGTTCAATCCCTGGTAGGCAGTATGCAGGAGGCAGCCAATCAATATTTCACTCTCACATTGATGTTTTTCTCTCTCTCTCTAAAAATAAATTTAAAAAATCTTAAAATTCCACTTGGATGAGCTTCTATTTAAAATGAAGAGATAAGGGGGAGGGATAATGGGGGATAAAAACATCCTATATAATAAAAGCCTAATATGCTAAGTGTCCGGTGGTCCAGTCGGCCATTCAACTAATCAAAGCATAATATGCTCATGAAATGTAAGGCCACTCAACTGCTCGCTATGACGTGCACTGACCACCAGGGGGCAGTCGACCAGTAGCTATGATGTGCACTGACCACCAGGGAGCAGATGCTCTGACCGGTAGTTTAGCTTGCTGCTGGGGTCCGGCCAACCGGGACTGAGCGAGATGGGCCAGAAACACCCTGGAGCCCTCCCGCGGTCCTTCCCCGGCTGGCCAACCTCCCATGTCCCTCTCCAGCCCTGTTTGTACACCAGAGGGGTCCCTCAGCCTTGCTTGCGCCCTCTCACAATCTGGGACCCCTTGGGGGATGTCAGAGAGCTGGTTTCGACCCGACAGCGGCGGAACGACCACTTGCTATGATGCGCACTGACCATCAGGGGAAAGACGCTCAATTCAGGAGCTTCCCCCTGGTGGTCAGTGTGCTCCCACAGGGGGAGCACCACTCAGCCAGAAGCCAGGGATGAGACAGGAAGCCTCAGTGGCAGCACTAAGGATGTCTGACTGCTGGCTTAGGCCCGCTCCCCATGTTTCCTAAGGATGTCTGACTGCCAGCTTAGGACCACTCCCCACCTAAGCCATCAGTTGGACATCCCCAAGTGCACAAATTTCATGTACCAGACCTCTAGTAAAATATAATGGACAGCTAAAAACTATCTGAAATAGTCTACATTTTATGAACTCAAACACTGTGACACTAAAACACTAAGCAAAAAAAAAAAAAAAAAGCTTACAGAAATAAGTAAAATTGCATCCTGAAAATGCAATGTTATACCTCAGGGCAGTATGGCGAACCTATGACACTCATTTTTTTAGTTGATTTTTCTTTGTTAAATGGCATTTAAATATATAAAATAAATATCAAAAATGTAAATCTTTGTTTTACTATGGTTGCAAATATCAAAACATTTCTATATGTGACACGGCACCAGAGTTAAGTTAGGGTTTACAAAATGCTGACACACTGAGCTCAAAAGGTTCGCTATCACTGCCTTACGGGAACTCTTGACAAAAATTACAGCATGAATTGGAAAAGATTTTTGATGAAAAAAAGGCAGACATTAAAGAATATTAAGTACCACCATCAGGTAGTTTCCCACCTCCTGTGCAACATCCCACAATAAAAATGCGACTCATACACTGGACATATTTCATGCTTCTAAACTGGACTGGAAGAACAAAGTAATTTTAAGCTACAGGGTGTCCCCCCAAAATGTATACACACTTTAACAGCTGATAGCTCAATTTTGAAAATGAAATGTATTTTAATAAACACTGACTTTATAATTATTCAAAGTGTATATATACATTTTTTTGGACTTTATATTATAAGCAATGCAATCACTACATAATCAATGTACCATATTTAGGGTCCTTCTTGTTTTGCTTTTTAGAATCAGTAACTAACATTAGTAAATTGCAATCTCATCATTTGGGGATTCCTCAAGGCTTGCTCCTAGGTCCTCTCTTCTTCTAATTTTATACTTTCTCCGGTGTCACATCCATGACCAATTTATTCACAGATAGCTGACTCAAGCTTACACTTTCTCATGAGCT